AAAAAAAAAAAAAAAAAAAATTCCAATCCCATCTTTACATAATTGTATTATTGTACCTTCACATGTTACATACAAATTGCAAACTATAGTATAGTGTTGTTTCAACTTTCTTGCATTATCACAACACAACCAACACTTTAGGCTATACCAACACATTAGGCTATGTTTGGATCTAATAAGTCAGCTTATATAGCTTTTTAAGTGAATTTAATAAGCTAGCTTATTAGTTGATAAACTCCTCAACATGCCTTCCAAATTATCAAACATATGTATAGTTTTTATCAAAGGCTAGACGAGTTCCAACTGGCATCGACGGCCCTGATAATCTTGTCGTGCAATCTGTCTCCAGAACAAGCGATTATGCCTCGGTCGAGACCTTCCAAAAACTTACCTTTAGAAAAGCAAAGCGGACGGCCTCCGGCATCAGTCACAACACCACCGGCTTCTTGTATGATAACAACTCCGGCCGCATGGTCCCATATCTTCTCTTTATAACCCGACCGAGCAAACTTCATGAATATCTCGGCATCCCCTCGAGCTACAGCCGCGTATTTCACCATCGAGTACACGCGCAACGGTTGATTCCTGCAACCCATAATATGGATTATCATGAGATTTTTTCATAGAAAATTGTCATGTATGGTATCAACCATAACTTTTTGGTCGTCTTGGTATTGTTGTTTTGATTATCGTCCCTTATGTTTGCAATAAGCTTATAAAAAGTCATTTTCACAACAAAAATATCCCCTTCGAATTTGCAAAAAACGGCTGCAGTTTCGTATCTTATGCATGCTCGGGGGACCTTTTCGTAACCTTTTTGCAAGGGGCGATAATCAAAACAGAGATTCGAAGGCAAAGGAAAAGTAAAGTAGTGAAACATAACTGACTAAAATTGTAATTTTCTCATTTTTTTTTCATGTACAATCACAACTTCAAGACAAGGATTCCCTTCGAATGAAAAAGAAGTCGTGAAAAAGTTCTACTTTCACCCGACTGCATTTAAAAATACAAACTCAAAAACTCACCTCAGCCCGACACTGTGAGCCAGGCCTGCCATAAAAGAATGACTCGAATTTCCCTTCTCGACTGGCTCGCACAACGTGGCTAGCCCCGGGTCGTCGACCCGTGAAACCAGGACCTGACTCGCCCGACCAGGCCAAACGAGCTCCCTCCCTTGCCCGACCAGCGGCTGCATCCACGACCCCCCTCCACCCCTCCTCGCGTAGATCACGCAGCCCTCATCCCTAGATCCCGACGCTATCAGGGACACGATCCTACGGTACCCGCTTGAATAACCGAGCCACCTTTTATCCACGGGATAATTGGGGCACCCAAGTACCCCAACCACAGGCACACCATTTTCAATTAAAGAAAGCGCAACTGCATACTGGTCCCCACGAAGGAACCCGAGCGTGCCGTCAATTGGGTCGAGAACCCAGAATCTCCCGGTGGGCCCACCAGCCGAGGTGCACCGGCCGATGGCTTCTATAATGTTTGAGGGGGTTAGAAAGCCCGGTGGGGGTTTGAGCCCGAATGAGGCGGATTGGGCCAGACATTTGTTGACTGTGTCTGTGATAGCGGTTAGTAAGGGGAGGGATTCGGGCTTGGAGATATGATGGGCTTCTTCCTCAGCCAGGATCGAGACGTTGTGGGGCCCGAGGGATGAGAAGAGTATGTAGCTTACAGTTGCTTGGACACTCCAATCTGATTATAAGAGTTGGAAATTTCGGAGCGTTAAGGCAAAACCTATGTCAAAATGCGCCTCTTTAGGCCAGGCTTGATGGGTTTTAAGAGCTAAATTTAATCACAAAGTAAAAAATCAACTGCCTCCCAACACAACTCGCCAACAAACAGAAAAAGGTTCAAAAATGGTGAAATTGAGTAACAAATTAGTGAATTACCAGCCACCGTGACAGGGGAATCGTCGTCTTTGGACTGCACATGCCCATTGCTGTCCGCGAGGAAGCTCGCCTGAACTCCCCGGCAGAGCAAGCACGCCATGTGGACCGCCTTCACGGCGACCTCCAACTCCTCGGAGTATTTCCCCTCCAACTCCATGGACCGATCGGATTCCAAGGTCTCGCTGTAGTCGTGAGCAGTCGCCGCAAAAATCGGCCGGTCACAATCGGCGCGTGAGGAGGAAGAGCGGCTGGCTAGGGTGGGGCGGAGGGTTTTGTGGAGGCTCGACGGAAAAATTCCCAGGCGGTGGCAGCGTTTTCCGGCGGCCGACGACAGGGCATGAGGAGGGAGAATTTGGGCCGCCAAATTTGAAGACGAAATGTGCATTATTTTAGGAGAGGGCGGCTTTGAAAGTATGAAATTAATAATTGTTTGATTGGTATTTATAGTGGTGGAGTTAAAAGGCGGAGGTGTTGAGTAGTTGGGCCAGGCAAGGGTGGAGGATTGGACTTGGGCTTTATCTAGTCGGCCATCGTTTTCCGGGTCCTTGTTTGGCCCATCAAATCCAGGCACAGACCAAGAGAGTAAAAACTACCTCTTCCCCTCGTGCAAACTTGGACATAATAAATGGGAAAAAAAAGCAAACAAATAACAACACTTGATGATGTAAGATCTCCCAACAACTTTAGTCATTAATATAACTGTTATACAAAACGAGCTGCTATTGAGCTTGGCTTAACTCGACTTCAATCGTTTATTGTTCGATTTTATTTAAAGTTCGTTTATTTAACCAGTCGAGCTTGGTTCGACAAAGTTCGAAATGATTTTCTTTATTATAATCTTTATAGTCAGATTGTTAAAGTTTTAGTTCGACTTGTTAAGGCTTGAGCTCGATTCGTTAATATTGAAAAAACGAGTTGTGCTCGAGCTCGATTAATGACTCATTAGGATAACGAGTCAAGCTTGGCTCGACTTGCTTACACCCCCTAAGTCAAGATGCAATCATGTTTTACGAGCCACCTCATCAGCCGAAATAAGAAACTTAAATTCAAATTAGAGTTCGAAAACTCGAGTATAATTGTCGCCACATTTCCTAAAATTGAGCGCCTCATACCCTATATTAAATTAGTGATTCAAGTAATAAATACAAATTTTGTTAGACACGACATTTGACGATTACAAAAACCTAAATTAAAGCCTAAATTGACAAAAATTAGAAAGTCAGTCACTTAAATTGTTAAAGGTAGGTATATTGCGGTTTTGCTATGAAGCCAATTATTGGTTCCATAGTGGAGTCAACTTTCGATATACAATAAATAAACATACCATATTCTCTGATTACTTAAATAACACTAATATAATTTTATTAATATGATAATGTTTACTTATTGTATATAAAATGTTGACTCCACTATAGAGAAAACCGTTGGCTTCATAGCAAAACCGAGGTATATTGTTGTGTTCATAAATTGCAATAGAAGTAAAAGAAATAAATCGTTTTACAATTTTTTTTTTTTGGTAGCCAGCCACGGTATTCAGAACTTTACCCCTCACTATCCGTTGGTCGACCCGGGTGGCACACCTAACATATGCAATTACTCATATATAAGATCCAAATTCTAGCTATGATGAAGTTGTATAAACCTAGAATGAGATAAGGCTAAAAGCCTAAAACAGCTTTAAAAAAATAGTAAAAGTAAATCAAATAATGTGAAAATTTGACAAGAATCGACTCCCCACTTGAGTGAAGCACCAAATCAAAATTGACGGTGCAGTAAAGCTCTATTATTCCTCAAGAAGATGATGGTTTGTAGGGCTCAATAATATTGATAAACAATGCAATTTTGGATTTTGCATCATTCTTAATGTACATATGTCATATGTCCTAATATTAGGCAAGGGTCATTTTTAAATGAACAAATTGTAAGGGTGGTATGTAATAAATATAATACAATCGGTTATTTTAATCGGTGATTCTAATTCGTGAGCAGATTCAGATCAATTTAGCTCGGCTCATTAAGTTTTGAGTCGAGTTCGAGCTCGTTTAGCTAACGAGCTGAATTTGACTCGTTAAAGCTCGAGAATACAGATTTTACGTAATCTTATGTATTTCTACCTTAACTTGGTATGTTAAAAACTCGAAAACATAAAATGTTAAACATTTTTTTGAAATTTTACTCGTCATAATACTGACACACGAGTCGAACTCGATCGTGTTTAAAATCTGCTCGTTTACGACTCTAAGTATTTGATACTATTCATGACTTAATGAGTAATTTATATATTACAAAAAATAAAAAAAAACATGTAGAAAAAAAAGGGAGTGGACAACAATAGAAAGCACGTATTTAAGGAATACGTTTTCTATACAATTTGTATAGAAAACGTATTCCATAAATACGTTTTTTCAGATTTTTTTACAAAATAAAACGTATTCAGTGAATACGTTTTACAATTAAAAAAATGGTAAAACGTATTCACTGAATACGAGATTTTTATTTTGATCCACTCTCATTTGTTTGTGTATTTTTTTTTTCCACAACTTATTTTTTTTTAATTTTCTGATAAAAAATTCAACCCATTCTACTATATTCATAAAATAAAATAAATAAATGTTTCCAATTGTAGGCTGAGATCCCTTTGTTTGTGAAGTTCAGTTTCATAGAAGTTATTGTCCAATATTCATAAATATTGAAAATCATGCATCATGCTGAGATCATTATGGCCATTTTATTATATTTTTATACACAAAAATTGAACATCATATTCATATATAAGTGTAATGTTTATCATTCACTAAATAGTAAATCCTCATAAAAAGGGATTTATCATTCACTAAATAGTAAATCCTCATAAAAAGGGATTGAAATAAAAAAGAAAAAAAAAATATTTTCGATGATGCAACGCATAGTTCATCATGACGTCCTTCAAAATGTATAGAAATTATTCATTTTAGCATTTTTTTTTGGATTACTAAATTCTAATTATATTAAAAGTTTATATTCTTATTTCCTTTCGGAATAAAAAGGACAAATAATGAAAGTATTACCAAAAAAAAAAAACGAATACCTCAAATTGTAAACTTCATTAAGGATCTTGAATAAATAATTTGGTGTATACGAAATACTTACTTGATGCGGAAGACGACATAATTAGTGATCTTGATTTTGATGATCACACAGGCTTGATCGACTGTTAGATCTAAAATTAGTTTCTCCCTCCTGACCGTTCCTTAACGTAGCAGAAAAGTGATGGGATAAAACTGCGTACCCTAATAGGAGGAGAGAGGACTAATTTATATAGGGGTGTCTTTAGATCTGGTACGTCCATCAAATATCCAGATTAATGGCTTAGATTTGTTTGACTATTAAATAAAGGCCAGCCCAATAGGATAATTAATTGTGAGCCCAATGCTTTCGGGCCACATATTCTTACACAAATAACTTATATTTTTATGAGTGTCTGATAAACACCACAAACTAGCTTGTAATAATTAGTTTATTTAATTAACTTATATGTTCTATGTATTCAAACAAGTTTGTTTCGGTGCAACGAGTAAACTTGGATAAAGTTGAGCCAAAAATAGATCTATTACCCTAGCGCGAGATTAAAAAAAAGATAAGTGGGTTCTTTTTCATTTCGTCGAAAATCGATTTTTGTTAGAGGCAATATAATCCTTACGTAAGGGCAATCCTATCCATCGAGGTATAATGACAGACCGGGAGGCTTCTTCTATTCTTTTCCCTGGCGCAGCTGGGCCATCCTGGACTTGAACCAGAGACCTCGCCCGTGAAGAAAATCATCGCACCCCTGTCGTTTCTCTGACTCAACTCAAGTGATAAGCAAGCCACCCCAGAGAGGAATAAATAGAATCTCCTCCCGGATGGAGCACAGCGAAAAAGCTGTTCGGTTGAAACCAAAAAATTAAAACGATTGGAAAAAACTAAGTTGAAATCGAAAGATTCAAACAAGGATTCGAAAGATTCAAACAAGGAGTAGAGGAACCACACCAACCCATCCCGAATTTGGTGTGCGCATGGGAACTAGCACTAGTTTCATGGGAACATAGGAGTTTGCCACTAGGTATTTGACCAAATGGAATGGTATGTCACAAATTAGGAGAATTCGTACCTACTTTCAATTTACGAGGCGGCTACCTTGTTACGACTTCCTCAGTTCGGATTGCAGGCTGCATAAGAATTTTTTTTCTTCAAACTAACTTTTAACGATGAAAAAAGAAAAAAAAAAATGATTTGGCTCTACATTAAAATGATTCACTCTCAAATCTTTTATAACCTTACATTTTTAAAATGATTATTCTATAAAGTTCTGTTTTCCCATTCACTATATTTTTTGTGGATGCAGATTTTCGGCCTACTTACCAGCAATTAGTGAATAGTCTCTTATTTTGTTCGTCTCTTCTCTACCTACAACACCTCTCAACTTTGATTTTTGTTTTATTTTATTTGTAGGTTTTGAAATTTCAGATAAAGGGCGTTGTGGAACAGGGACAATAGAAGTAGCATTTCTGTGCAAATATACATGTCCGAATGTGAATGAATACGTCTTCTGGGACAATTTTCATCTCACAGAAAAAGCGTACAGACTTCTCGTACATCAAATTCTCGAACACTCAATCAAAATTTTCATCACATGAAATATATGTGTATAAATACACACACACATATATTAATATCGTCGTACGCTACTCTACATCAGATTCATAGTCAAATTAAACACTATATAAGGTACAAAAATACCATGAAATTGATGATCAAATACAAATTCCTTAGCATGGCTAACTTCCAATATTTTTGATGTTTTAGAGCCTTTTTTTTTTTTTAATTCAAAATTTAGGTTAGACATGAAAATAAACCATCGGCCCATCGGGCCTATGACCAATGGGCCGAGCTCAATGGTCATGCCTAGTACACGCTGAAATAGATAACCTTTGGAGATGAGACTTATACATGCTTCCTTCCCACCTCTAACAACTTCGAAAGCAGCCGGTATCCGTGAAAGAACAAAACTAATTTGACCAGCGACCACCACACCATTCTCTTTTTTCAATTTTCATCCAACATTTGAGTTAAACAAATAACTGCAAGAGGTATTTATTTCTTTTTCGAAAGCTGATTTTTTGATGCTCTTATGTTCACTGAAACTAAAACCTCAAATCCCCCAGGATTAAACAAACATCAGCACAATCAAAGAAAGAAAAAATGAAGCCAATTTTTTTTTTGATTTTCACTATAATCTCATCCCTCTTTATGCTTTCATCTCCAGCCTCAACGACGATCAACACAACTCAAGAATGCCCCCTCGACCTCGACTACGTCCTCACAATCCCATGGAACAACTCGGATTGCACAAATTCCCAAAACCCAAACAGCCCCTTATCCCGAACTAGCGGCTCCCAAAGCCTACTCTCCCTCTTCGGCATAGCCCTCTCCAAATACCTCCAAAGATCCTCCCCTTTTTATCTCCCAAACCTGTCCACCTCAATTTCTTGCCTCCAAAGTTTCCAATCCAAGCTCAATACCCTCTTGCTCGACCCCATTTTGACCTCTCTCTGCTTCGATCCCCTGCTATTCGCCACATCCCCAAACATATGCGCCGCGATTCAGACCACCGACGATTGGGTGTGGACGGTAGGGAACTCGACCGCCTTGTATTCCTCGTGTCGGTCGGATTTGACCGTTCCCACCTCGTGCGACGCCTGCGTCGCCGTCGGATTCAGGGTTCAGTCCCAGCTGATCGTCGTCGATGGCAACCTCTCGCACGCCACCAACTGCTTCTATTTCTCCGTTCTGTACGTTGCTGGGGTCGTGAACGATTACGGGCCGGAGAGCGCCGGCGCCATTTCGTGCATTTTCGGATTCTCAATCAGGCCCAAAAGAGGGTCGTCAGGGAATCGGGCCCCGCTTATACTTTCGGGCTGATTGGAGCTGGTATGGCAGTTTTTTGTGGTCTGTGTTGTGTTGGGACTGTTTGTGTGGTGGAATAGGAAATGTAGGAAATGGGGTCATGTATGAATGAATGACTTGTAATGGGTGAGTGGCCAGAGTGGGAGAGTTTTTCTTTGTGTTTTTCTAATGGGATTGAGATGTATTACTATGATATTATTTAGTTATATTGGTAATATTAAAATTGTAGAGTTGAGTTAAATTTGAATTAGATTTTGATTATGAATTGAGAAAATATATAAACAAACACATCTAGGTGGTGATTGTTTATAGTTTCAATAGTAAAAAAACTAGTTTTTATTTGGTTTATTTTTAACTATAGTTAATTTTGTAAAAATATGGTGTAGTTAGTTGTTAGTGAATATATTAAATAATATTTAAATAAAATAATTAAAATTGATTTGATGTAAAGTAGGAGAAAAATGATTGGAAGTGATAGTTAGTTAGAATTATGTGAGTGGATGAATAGTGAATTAAAGTTGATGTAATGTGTAAGAATGATTGATTGATATTATTTAATTATATTATTAATATTAAAGATAGTGGGGGTAGAGTTAAAGTTGAGTTAAATCTAAAGTCTTAAATTTAAATTCTTAAAAATTCTTGAACCAAATTACAATTTTTAAACTGTGAGAACATAACCAATAAACTCATAACTCATAAATTTGTTAAATTCCAATATTATAGTAATTAAAATCTATATATATTGTTGAAGGAGAAAATGAAAGAGAAAATGTTTCTCGAACTTCCAGGTAAATGGGCGGCACCAGGTGACAGAAAACCTTGGACTGGCATGCCAGAACCTTGTAAGGTTTGGAAATGAAATTCTGAACACATCATTTTTTATTATTGTTATTATGAACTTCATGAAACACACCATTTACATAAATAATAAAAAACCTTTTGTTTTAATAACACCTAGATAATAAAATTATAAGACCCATTAAAAGAGACATATATTTTTATAATATAAAATAATATTGCATTTCGTTAGATCGAAAACCTCATATATATTGTTTTAAAAATATCCACTGTCATATACGTACGAAGCAGATGCACCAGATTTTGAAACATAACTGAAGTTTCTATAATAAACCAAAACTTCATGTTCGATAGTTTCTATAATCATCCCAAAAACTGCAAGAAAAGAAAAAAAAAATAATGGTTTGGCAAGTAAACGGTGTTAACAAACTCTCTCACAAGGGATCAAATATACTTGCCGAAAATTTAATTTCAATTAACTTATCAATTAATTTTACCAACACTTCTATAAACTTTTTGATTAACTATAAGCAATAAATTATAAGTTCAAAATTCACTTTAAACTATCAAATAACATGCATATATAAAGTGTGGGCTTTCAAATTTATTCATAGGTCCATTCATATTGTCCATTTGACAAACTTGGGCTTTAGCACTTAAATTGGGCATTCATAAGGTATGTTGGTTGGTTAAATATTTTACACCACCTCCTCCTAATTTTAACCAGACTTTAAAGACTTGCAAGGGGCTTCCCCGCGTAAATATTCAGACGCTCAAGTTAGTCTTTTTTACACTCAGTAAATATGCAGACGCTCTATGTGGTAGCTCAAAATCTATTCACAAAAATAAATTAGAGCTACCAAAAGTCATTAGGATAGTAAATTACCACTAAATCCAGATAAAATTTTACAAACGACACGTTTAACCTCATTTCCTTTTGTCGGAAGGTCTCATTCTCTTTAGCCTCTTCACTTAACCTGTCAACATAATTAGGTCATCGAGTGCTCTAACCCGAGCTATATCACTCCATCATCCAAACCAAATTTTCCTTTGGAACTTACAACTGGAGAAGCACGAGAAGAGTCGTTCATATGCAATCAGAAGAGACATCCAAACCAAAGTTTCCCAAAAATGGACACTTAAAAGGGGAATTAGGACTCCAAATTAACTTAATAACAACTTAACTACATTCACAAACAAGTTTCTTTTACTTTATCAGAAAGTGAGAATCACCTCTACCAAACTAATAGCTTTCTTCTGAGACCAATTTCAGACAAATATATAGTGTTCATATATATATGTTTGTCCATTGTATCCACATAAAAAGGATTCAACCGAACAATATCGAGAAATGGTCTTGTCCATAAAATTTCGACTCCTTTACGTAAGCAGTATGTAATTATGATACGTATCATAGTATAGTATAGATTATCTATTTCGACGATCAGATACTGTATAGGTAAAGATTATGACGAGGATGTGAGTTTTTCATTCCGATTTCACACGTCCTTTCACCATTAGAATAAAAAAAGAAACTTACTGAAGGCAAGGAAACAAGAATACTGGTGAGCTCAGATTATTCACAAGCATGATCAAACGTAATTACTATATTGAAACGCTGTTTATTTTACACAATACCCCACATAGCGCTTGATAAAACATCTCCAATGTCAGTTTGGACAGTAAAGCTTGGAAAACTATATTAACCATAAGTCATTTTCTCGGTAACGGTCATCTTCCGAATATCATAAACCTTTACATGGCTCGAATTCACAGTTTGCCTACATTTGCTCGAACAATGGTGATTTGCAATTGATAGTATTCTAATAACTACCTTATTACCGAGTATATCTCAAAACTCTGAACCATCGAGCGTACAAAGAACTTCAGGTTATACTACACCAAAGGAGATGAAAAAGTAAGTTGACGAAAATTGTAGTACGAATTGAATGATAAAAGAGTGGAATTGTGTCTATTGTAGGTTCCTTCGCGTGCCGAATCACAAAACAATAACATTCCATAAAATATAAGATGGGAGCAATATTCAGCAAAGGAAAATATAATCACACGTAATTTATCATTAAAACAATAGGCAATATTCTCAAAGGCTGATGTGTAATAATAACTAATAACAAAATAACTAAGTAATCATACATAAACGATATATCAGTATACAATACTTCTTGCTCATATTTTTGTTGGGAGTAGATTACCAATAAATTTAATCTATATATCGGTAAATATTAAAAATTAATACGTGAAAAAAGTTAAGTTCGTACATGTTCTTATTATCAATAGTTATTTCTTTTTTTAGTTGAACTAATATTTATATTTAATTAGAATAAATTTATATTTTTGTAATAATTACACGGATTTTTTTATATGACGTGAACTTATTTACTCGATTAAGAAATTTTTTTATTTTATTATTGTTTATATTTCTCACTTTAATAATTATTCAAAGTATTATTTATTTTTATTTACTAACTAATAATACGTTCAATATATGTCCTTATAAGTAATTTTACATGTTAACAACTAGCATTTCATTATCAAACAAGGCCAATAACTTAACGTGACTAATAACTAGGCTTTGTATTTTGCAACAAAAATAGTACATATCACTTATGTTAATATATCGTTGAATAAATTAGTACAAAAATAGATTTTAATTTGACTTCTCTCAAAATAGCCATGACAAAATTTTACTTATTTTAAAACTTATATTGACAGAGACACTTATTTTAAACTTATACTGATAAGAAATACGACAAAGACAAATCCACTGTGTATATAGGTTTTTTCTCACCTAAAACTTATATTTATAAGAGATGAGAGACAAATTCACGATGTACTCTTTATTCAACCAGTCCAGACTAATGAAACACGAATTTTGTTTCATGCACAAACTTTTAAAAGTTATAAAATGATCCATCACACATGAGTTTCGGTATATTCATAAATTTTATTAATATGATAGTTACGATAATTTTTAAAACAATTATTATTATATATTTTCTTTACACATATATTATTAATACATATATATATATATGTCCATATATTTAAGTATCAATAATAAATAACACCAGATATATATATATATATATATATTATGCATATCAAATGATCAATTCAATCCAACCATGGTAAAAATATTGGTAAAAGTTTCTTCAAAATTTATACAAATAATTTATCTGACATCCTAATGAGAGATTGGAAATTAATACAATCTTTATAAAATATTTTGTAAAGTTGAATAAGAAAAAGATAATTTTGGCTTGTCATACAAATATGCATTTCAATATTTTGCAGGCGTACAAATTATCGATCCATAATATATTATTTTAAATTTTTAAAATTGAATTATTTTTTAAAGATAACTATAGAATAATATTTTATCTAATTTATGAATTTGTTAAATATATGAGATGTGTTGAAAATGTGTAAAAGTTTGAAAATGAGTTTATTGGGTTGGAAAAAACTACTATTTCATGTTGCGGTGCAAAATGAGTTTGAGTACAAGTTTTTCGGTTGTAGATGATACATAGGTCAAGTTTTTAACTCGGACAAAGTTATATTTCCTCTCAAGACAGAAAAAACAACTCCAATTCCATGCGCATACGAGAGCAGCCTCGATATTAACACCCGAGTTTTCCATAGGTTCTCTGGAAGCAGAATTTAAGGGACATCAATCAAGCGCCCTTCCTCTTTTGCTCCTTGGATTGTTTAATATCCTTCGTCAGCATTCTCGGAGCTATAGCCATGGCCATCAGCTCCTGGAAAAGCAGCTTACAAGCATACGGAATATAAACCTACAAAAAAATAAAGGCGAAAAAGATAATTTTAGACGCGCAGATTAACTCGGGGAGTAAAAAAATCCTGAAAGCAGATCGAATTTACCTGAACAATATCGGTCTTATTCTTACACCCCCTGCACTCGAACGAATTCTTCTTCAAATTCGCAATCGCAATCAACCCGCACTTCTCGCACACATGAATCCTATACGCGTCACTCTGATCAAACAACCTCTCCTTCAGAAAATGGGCTGCCCCATGAGCAATCATACAGTCACGCTCCATCTCCCCAAACCGAAGCCCACCGTCACGGGACCTTCCCTCGGCCGGCTGCCTCGTCAGAATCTGGACCGGCCCACGACCCCTCGAGTGGATCTTATCGTCCACCATATGCTTCAGCCTCTGGTAATATGTGGGCCCGAGGAATATCATCGACGAGAGGCGCCGGCCCGTATGCCCATTGTACATAGTCTCGTAGCCCCGCATTTGATACCCGCACTTATGAAGTGCCCGACTGATATTATCCACAGTGACGTCAGTAAAAGGCGTGGCGTCACCTTCTTTTCCCATATGTGCCGCGACTTTTCCCATGACGCACTCGATGAGCTGGCCGATCGTCATTCGAGAAGGAATAGCGTGTGGGTTAACGATAATATCGGGACAAATTCCTTCGAGAGTCCACGGCATGTCTTCTTGAGTGTACGTCATGCCAACTGTACCCTTCTGACCGTGTCGACTACTGAATTTATCGCCAATTTGGGGTATACGGACAGATCTCACCCGAACCTTTACGAACCGTAAGCCATCGGCGTTTGTAGTGAGGAGAACCTGATCGACTATACCAGTTTCACTGTGGCGGAGGCTCGTGCTGTGGTCTTTCTTGGTGTAGCGGGCAGCGGCGGCCGGCTGGCCGGAGGCCTGAGCATCGTCGGGAGTTATAGGAGTAGTTTTGCCGATTATGACGTCCTCGCCGGAGACTCGGGTTCCGGGAGGGGCGAGGCCGTCGTCGTCGAGTTTGTCGTACGAGCCATGGCGCATGCCCATGGTATTACCGCGGTCCGGTTTGCCGAAATCTTCCTTGACGAGAGTGCCCATTTTCTTCTCTTCGTCTCGGTAGGAGCGGAAGAAGAGGGAGCGGAAGAAGCCACGGTCGATAGAGGACTGGTTCATGATGACCGAGTCTTCTTGGTTGTAACCCGAGTAGCAGGCGATGGCCACAATGGCGTTGATGCCTGCCGGAAGCTGCCGGAAGTGGAGATGCTCCATGGCTCTTGTGGTGACGAGAGGCTTCTGGGGGTAGTACAGCACGTAGGCTAAAGTGTCCTGATAGATTTTTTATTTTATTTTTTTAGAGGAGAAAAAAATAAAAGAAAAAGGAAAGGGTGAAATTCGAGAAAATTGTGACGGGAGTATAGCTAGGGAGAGGGAATCGGGATATACCATTCGGAATTGGTAGTTGGTGACATAAATGCCCATGGCTTGCTTGCCCATAGCTGATTGGTAGGTGTTACGTGGGGACTGTGAGGAGAGCACGATATAACTAACACCTTTGGAGATGAAAAGATTGAGATGATGATATTTAGGTAATTATTTTTTACCTGGTTGTGATCTGGGAATGGAATGATAGAAGCACAGACACCCAGTATTAAGGACGGGTGAATTTCACAGTGCGTATAGGTGTCTGAGTATGCATCGCTTGGATTTAGCCTGGCGCTTACAAGATCCTGAAGAAAGGGACACTCAGTTAAAATGTTTTCAGCATGTCACTGGTTTAAACTTATGAGAGATAACAGGGGCTTATTTATTAGTGGCCTCACATTTATAGTCATGGAAATCATAGTAGTTTCCTCTTCTTCTGTATCAATGTACTCGATAAATCCTTTTGCAACCAAGTCATGCCAGCCACCATCATCAGATTCCTGGGGGAAAAAATGCATGATGAACAAGCAACAATGCAGAATCGCATCACAATTTGTATGTAATATATATATAATATATGTTATGTACAATATATCAAGGGGAAATTGTAACTTTGAGAGAGAGCTCAAGGGATAAAACCAATATATCAATATATAAAGGGGTAAAACCAATAGCCCAAAAAGCATATTATGTTTGGCTTACTCTTTGTTGCAAGGCTTGAATATCCTTCTTTTTTATTAGGAGTCTTTGCTTCTCCACAATAAATAAAGGACGACTACAGCGGCCATAATCAGTATATATCCGAAGTTCTTTCAAACGAATGTCTCGAACCACCCCAACCTCAGTATTGACATCAACCTGTCCACAAAATAAATAAACTGCTAAAAATAAAAACAAAATAAATATATATATAAATAAATAAATGATAAATAATAAATAAATGATATATAATATGTATGTATATATATATTCTATCTTCTTTTTTTTTTAATCTAATTAGGGGATGGAAAAGCCTCATTAGTTACGAGCAAAAAAGAAAAGAAAATGAGCACTTACACGTCTCCTCAAACGTCTTAAAGTTGAAACCAGCATATCAGGATTGCGATGGATACCAACCCAACAACCGTTTACAAAGATCTTTGTCGCTTGAGGGATCACAGCAGGAGAAATTTCCTTGAAGAGGTGATAAATAAAATAAAATTGTGAATGGCCAATTATATAGCAGTACAACCAGCTGCAATGTTTAACAGAGTTGACGCACCTCAAAGTTCTCAGTGCCCCATTCCTCCAAGAATTCCAAAATCGGATATGCTGCTGAACCAACTGTAATGTAGACCATCAATGCAAGGTTCTTTACCAACCCACATGCCTGGTGAGACAGCCCAGTGAAAGAATATGTTTATAAACAGGCAAAATAATTTAACAAATTGAATATTCCAGTGAACACCTTGGAGTGGACCTACCTGTCCTTCAGGTGTTTCTGCAGGACACATCATCCCCCACTGTGAATTGTGTAGCTGCCTTGGTTTAGCCAGTTTACCTATAAGATAATAAGCAAGTAAAATTTTAATAATAATTAGGGAAGGATGGCAAGTATTAACTAGTTTACTTTTTCATAAGATTGGCACAAAAGTGAGCCACTCTATTCACAAAACAAGCTTCTAATTTCTGTCCCAATGAAATTAGGGCAAGCAAATAAATCGAGATGTCCCACAAGTACTAAGCAGTGGTGGACAATAATTTTACTAGATCCACAGAAGAATATCAAATATATTGTGGAAATAAGCAAATACCTTCACGACCAATTGGAGAATTGAGTCTTCGCAAATGTGACAAGGTAGAAGCATAAGTCAAGCGATTTAACACCTGTAATGTGTTGTTCCCATTGTACTCGGTTAGAACAAATTTTAAGCACGTCATTATTAATAAAATTATTTGAACAGATGATCGTTACACAATTCAACCTGGGAAACTCCAGCCCTAGTACCCGCGGCATTTGCTTGGCCCCAGTTCCCAGTAGCAAGTGAGTATTTTAGACCACTGGTAATCGTTTTGGCTTTTATAGCAAATTGCAGATTCACATCCTTGCCATTATCTACACACTGATAGTGTGGAGGATCAAGTAAATATGCATTTCAAAAAACCCATCTATATATTCGCCACATATTATAGAAAGGCCAGGAAGTGGCGAACCTTCTGAACATAAGACCTTACATCCCTGGTCAACTTTCTGAAAAGCTGCACCATGAATAGAAGCCCAAAATCAGAAAAGTAATATGTCACTTTTCTAAGGTCAAATGACCAGTACTACATGGCTATGAACTACAAACCATTCGAAACAGGCCCCCGAGCAAAGGACCAGCAAGATCTAGTCTTTTATTCCCATAGTGGTCTCTATCATCCTCTGCTCTTCGGCCAAGTGCACACAACAGAAGCCGGTGGATGATGTACCTGCACAAAGAGACAATATGCATTACTTTAACAGCAGCACCAACTACTGTAAGACCAAAACTGCTAAGAAAAATGACTTACCCAAAATAATAACCTTTCTTGGTCTCACAATGTTCCCCGACGCCAACATGAGGAAGCATTTCTTTTTGAAGAATCTCTTTAGCATACCTGCATCAGGGCTTTTAATTAAACTTCGTAACAAACAGAACACTATGAATTGAGTAGAGCAATTTCAGCAAGACAAACTTGATTCTTTTCTCTCGAGTAACACCAACGGTGGCTCCTCTTTTTCCAATGTAGTCCAAAGCAACCTGCATTTGCATATAGGTAAGATAATTGTGGAACAAGTTACATAATTAAGATAAAGCACACTCCTTTATGAACATATGTGAGAAAGAAAGAGAAAAGGGTAAGGTGGCATTGGTTAAGAAGCAGTAAAAGGAGATTTCAATTTTAGCTCGCACTAATCTCTTACACCTGACATAATAACAGACAAAAAGTACCTGCTGATTCTGTATCACAAATGCTTCTTCCAAGGATGGCCTCAGCAGCTCCATCATTTGAGTATCTTGGAAATTGTAGCAAATATGTTCTAATATATCTTTGTCAGCAATGAATCCTAATGCTCGAAACACAACAATGATGGGGATCTCAGTACGGATATAAGGAAGTGTCGCACGGATATACTGGCCCGATGAACCCTGCATTTACAAATGCATATGGTTCAAAAACAAAGTATATGTCATATGCGGATATGTCTCAGTAAGGCAAAAGGCATAACATCAACATGTTATTACCCCTTTGGCGCTAGTTCGAGAAAGCATCCGTACAAACATTGTACTAGGTGGCCTATTTTGGGTCTCCGCCATGGACCGAACTTCAGCCACATAAGCATACTTGTTGGGTTGTCTTTTTTTAAATACATAGACGTGATTGGTACTCATCTTCTCCTGAGCAATTAAAACCTTTTCACTTCCATTGATGATGAAATAACCACCCTGGTCATACGGACACTCTCCAAGCTCTGTCAAATCTTTTTCAGAATTTTGATACAGCGTGCAGTAACTCGACCGCAACATTATGGGAACCTAGTCAACACACAAAAAGAGGCACTTTTAAGAAAACACAAATATACATTCATTGTTGTTACCTTAAGTAAGGTTGCATGATTTACCTTCCCGATGAAAACTTTTGTGAAATCCTGAGTCTCAGTAACTTCCTCACCATCGTGACCTTTCCTGATGACTCTTTTTGTCACATCCACATACAACGGGGCTGAATATGTCAAATTTCTTAGCCTTGCAGCCTTAGGAAACAATGTTGCAGTCTCTCCATCAGACTCTGTCATCATTGGTTTACTAAGATATATCTGACCAAAACTAATCTTATAAATAGTCTGCGCAAAAATCAAGAAACAAGATTCAGTTAGATCCTTCATTGAAGCACCACCTGAAAGTTAATATCTAACATTTCTAACATATAATTGAGATTGTCTGATTAAAATACTCGGAGGAACACACACACACACACTCACTAAGATTTTTTTTTTTCCAAATAAGATGCATTATGCCTCATTCTAAGGAGAATTGCCAAGTTACTTTTATTATAAAGAATCCTTCATCCAATTATAAATAAAATGAGATTGCTAAGTAACCCTGCCGATCTCCAAAACCCATCCTATCCCTAGTCAACATATGGCAACTCACTGAAGCCCTTCCACATATCCATTTTTCCGCAACACCCCATGCGTTTTGCAGAGCCAACATTAACTATCAAGACTGTATAGGCCCTTAATAATATGTCTAGAATCAACCATGAGTCCTTTTCTGCTTATAGGAAACCTATTTAAAACGTTTAAATCTAAGACACAGTAGAGGTTTTCCCACATAAAACGCTTAATAGGGGCTTCACGATTTCTTGTTCCCCTCTCTTTTTACCAGCTTCCTCCTTAGTCAATGTCTTCCAGTTTCAAGGTTATAGGTACATATCAATATTCAATATCAATCACCGCTAACCAAAAATAATCAGATAATCCATTCAAAAAGTGTGAATCGCCACCACACCACAACACACATTCAAAGCTCCTTCCAAGTGAATGCTCCATCGAATCACTATTTTTTTCTATCAAATTCCATCATCCAATATCAAGGTTAACGAATTAACCAATCTCATCAACCATTGCCACTAACAAAAACCTCCAAGTTAAAAAACCCTAGCATTTTCCCATCAATTCCTCGATACCAACACGAAAAACGACCAACAACTAGAAAAAACCACCTCGGCAAAGTCCGGCTGGTGTCCCGGATTGTGCTGCGACTCGGGCCGGATCTCGATGTCGGCCGACTCATCCACAATCTCCTGCATCGTGTTCTGTATGAACTCGTCGAACGAATCGAGCTGCTGGCGGACCAAACCCTTCTCCTCGAAGTACGCGCTGATGACGGCCCACGCGTCCTCCTGCGTGATCTCCTCCTCGTCCTCATCATCGTACTCCTGCTCGTTGTATTCCGGCTCGGTATACTCCTGCCCGTAGTATTCTTCCTCCAAATCCATCGTTTTTTCAATACTTTTGCAGGGTTTTTCGAATTGGTTACAACCTTTTTCCTAATAGATTCTTAGAATTTGTATACTTGAGTCCAAATTGTAGTAAGCAAAAAAGGGAGTAAAAAAACCCCTCTTTTCCAGCGAGAGAAGATCTGAGATGGTGAAAGAGGAAGAAAATCAGATGACAATTGGGGGAAAAGCGGCCTTTTATAGTTGCACGACACTGTATTTCGACCCTAATTGAAGTATTTTGATTATTTTTCGATTATTGTTATTTGTATAGACCGTTGTGGCTGTCGGACGCTAAAAGCATTTTCAATGGCCTTTGGATTGTCCTATCTTGTTGCCACATGGCACAAAAAATCTTTTGTGGCCTAAAATAATTTTAGAAGTCTTTTTAAATGTAGAAGTACTTCTAGAACAACTTTTATTATATAGTATTATATTACATATTCAATTTTTTTAATTTTTTTCAACCAATTATAAATTTACACATGTCATAATAAATCATCTTAAACATAATTCATTGGAAACACAATTTTTTAATCTTCCTTCTCGTGCAACTCAAAATGGACAACTTACTATTGGAGATGCTCTAATACGGAATAAACCCGCTAAAATGCCCAATGTATCTGCTGCAATATGATAATAAGCTATTCCTCCCGAAACAAAAGGATCAAAACCTTGTATATATTTTTTTTTGTAAAATAAAATAAATAAGAACTTTTACTTCATTAGTAATTCATTTATAAATTAAAGCAAAATCATAAAATGGAAAATAACCATTTGCGTCTTTTGCAAGTTAAAATTAAATCAAATTAAGTCACGCTATCACGAGTAACCCAATAAAACATCGATATAATTGTAATTTGTAATTTCGGCACAATAATCATTCCAAATATTGAAACTTAAAACCTTAGACTTTATATCAATCACTTCAAACTATAGATCCTAGATCATCAGCGAATATCCGATCGTCGTCAATGCTTCCACATTGATCAACTAGTTGTTCATAAGTAGTTGTCGAAATTTTACTTGTTATACAGCGAATAGATGACTTGAAATTATTGATCTATACTGCAAGTAATATAAGAAAAAAATATTATTTGTGACATCATTCATCATACCTCAATTTGCAAAAACAAAACTTAATTATCAAAATGGAATGATTATATTTAAAATTTAAATTACAATCAAAGTAGAAATTGCAGTTTGTTTGGTTATTCAACATGTTTACCACAATTTTTTTCTTTTTACCGGAAAAAAAGATATATCTTCTCTTGCAATTTTATATGGGCCTAGTTGTCAGGGTAGCCTAGGCCCGTGTATGTATACACCCCACCATTACGGGCCATTTAATGTCAGATCTCAGATCCATGGGCCTCGCTTGAAATGGGCCAGTCTCCATTAAAGAAACGCAAAAACGGCCCAGCATTACGGGCCATTTAATGTCAGATCTCAGATGCATGGGCCTCGATTAAAAGGGGCCAGTCTCCATTAAAGAAACCCAAAAAACGGCCCTAAATTAAGACACGTGGACTTTAACAATAATTTTGATGCACAGACTACGCATAATTCGTGCTGATTTGAGCCGTACGAACATGATGAATGAGCTTTGGTAGTTCAACTGACTTCGAGACTCAACCCGTAGGCTCTACGACACGTGGCTGCAGATAAGCATAATGAAAAGGCAAATATACTCAGCTTATTGAAACTCATCAGATCATTCGCATATATTTGGTAGATCCAATTATAAAAACTACACGTGCCTTATAATTTATGATTAATGGTTGAAAAACTAGTTAGTCGATAAGTCGGTTCAAACAAAAACACGAACACAAAGTCATATCCGAGACAATTTATCTGTTATGTACGTGTCTAATAGGCTAATAACAGTCTTAGTAAAACTCGAATAGACTGACTTATTTGAAACGCTACATAATGCGAAATCTCATCTCAGTACATCAATACAAAATTATTATAAACTAGTTAACTAAATTATAAACTTGTTGTGCTTATTAAAACAGTACTGTCCACACTCATTTTTTTTTTTTTTTAAGAAAAGGAAATTCAATTTTTATTCATTAAATCAACTGATTGCAATATTTATTGGCTTATAGTAAAAAAATGAATATAAAAAAAATATATATATAATGTCAAAATGTTGATTGCTTTGAGGGTTAACATAAAGTTTACAAATGGCACAACATGTTACTTTTTGAGCCTTCATTAGGTAACCAACAGCATATGCAGCAAAGACAAAAAGGTCACACAGCCTCCAACTTTACCTGCTCTTTCCTAAAAACACAAACATATATATTTTGTATCTTTACTCTTTAGGAGCATACACATTTTGTACCAACTCTGAACCAACATACCTCAAATCCTCTTTAACTTTTTTTCAGACAGAAAAATCCTGTGAGAGTGTTTACTTAAGTCTCATAATAATGGGTTTGTCCAAATGGATCCCAATGTTTGTTCTAAGGCTCATTGCTTTAGGCGCCACAGTCTCGGCAGCCTTGATCATGGTCACGAGTCGAGACACAGCCCAAGTTCTTAACGTGAAGTTCGAAGCAAACTATACGAATTCCCCGACTTTCAAGTAAGTTGGAACTTGGAAGTTAATTATATTGTTTTTCCAGATAATGTGCACACTATGGTTGTGTTTAGTAAGTATATAAGTTAGCTTATATCTTATTTGATTAGCTTGTAAGCATCTTGTATTAAAATAAGTTTGGTTTGGTAGGACGAGTTTTTTTTAAAAGCTCGAACTTATTTCATAAATTTTCTTGGATAGCTTTTCAAACAAGAACATTGAAATTGAAATTTCTAGTTCAACTAGCTTTATGAGCTAATTTTATCAAACATTATTATCATATAAACTAGTTTTCAGTCATAAGTCATACGTTATCAGCTATAAGCTCGAAATTCACTTAAAAATTATAAACTAGGTTGTCAGTTAAATTTACCAAACATAACCTATAATTTATTAATCATTGTTACTTATATGGTTGATTTTAATTTCTTTAGTTTCTATTTCTGTTATATTGCAGGTACTTTGTGTTGATAAATGCAATAGCAAGTGTTTATACTTTCATACTGCTGTTTTTCCCTTTGAAGACTTCATATAGGCACTTGATCTTGGCCCTGGATTTGGTAAAACAGTACACCTTTTATTTCTTTATTTCTCTCTTTCTTTCTTTTATGATCTGTCATGAGAGATTACGGAGAAAAACTACCAAATAAGGGTCGTGTAAAGACACAAATTCGCAATGTTTCGAAATATTAATCGAACCCTTCAATATAATTATCCCATCCAAGATAACCAAAAAACGAAAATAAGTCATATCATAACATGTTGAAACTTACTATTATATAGTGTTATACTTCACCATCTATCCTATCTTCTGGACAAAAATGCATTTTTAGTCATGTTGGTATAACATCATAGCAATTTTCGTACCAAGTCCAACTTTTCGCCTTTTGTTCCTGTGATTTAATATATTTGATGCAATTTCAGTTATAAATTTGGAAATTTGTTGCAATTTCGATCTTCCAATGACTGAAATTGCAGCAAAATACCAAATCACATGATCAAAAGAAGAGATGTCAGAATCTTGAGACAAAAATTGTTGCGGCGTTAAACCAGTAGGACTGAATTTGCAATTTTACGACAAAGTGACATACTTTTTTCCAAAATCGGATAAGTAATATCATAAATACCTATTCTAAATGGTTGTAGATTATGACATTGCTTCTGGATTCAAGCATATCTTCATGTATAGCAATAGGGCAAGTGGGGAAAAAAGGCAACAGTCATGCAGGTTGGCTACCAATTTGTGGACAAGTTCCTAAGTTTTGTGACCATGTCACAGGAGCTTTTATTGCTGGTTTTGTGGCTGCAATAATTTATTTCCTTGTACTTTTATACTCACTTCACAATGTCATCAATCTTTTCATTCTCAAGAATTAAAGTTTTCTACTGCAAATACATTATACATCAGAACATATTTCAGAATAGAAAACATGTGAGAGCAATATGATATTTTTCCCTCTTTTTTCGACCTGTTCGGTTTTCTCCAGTCGAGTTTTAGTGTTCGTTTTGCGTGACGTTGCTTGTATGAGGAAATATAGTGATTCCCAATTTCCCATGTACACAATATTATTATTATTGTTACATATATTTATCCAAATCCCTCAATATATTACAATCAGCAAATACACACAAAAACTACAAACATATTTGATGTCCTTTTAAGAATCTGTATAATTCAACGTATTCCTTCACATAAAACACACAAGCAACACAATGAAACAGCAAAGCAGCAGCTTTTTTTTTTAGAAAATAATAATTAAACACAATAAAAAGACCAATTTCTCCATATGGAGGCCTATTTTTTACGGTACCTGGCCCGAAAAATTGTTGCACTGAAAGCCCTTGTCAGAAAAGGCCTCGACGAGTTTGGAATAGAGCTTGGCCAGCATGATCTTGAACCCAGTCGAGCTTCCTTTCTGAATTTCTTGTTCGTTTTTTTCTGAGTCGAGCGTGTAATAACCTACAGGAGCTCCTTCCATGTAAGCTTTGCATGCAAGTAGAATGCTTTTGCTACGCTGGCTAAAGTGCTCGTCCACAAGCGCCTCAAAATGCTGCGGCCAATAACAAACAAAATGAGATTAAATGGTGAAAAAAAAACTAATAATTTAAGATCTGTTATAAGAACACATCAGGCCATATCATCGTTTTTCATTATGACGATCAAATCTTTTTTTTTTTTTTTTTTTTTTTT